CATGTGTACCCGACTAGTGTTTGCAGTGGGAAAGGAGTAATTGATTATCTGACAGTTGCAGTTGTCTGGCAAATGAGAATCTCTTAAAAGCCAGGATTCTTGGGAAGAGATATTGCTCATGAGTGTCTTGGTGGTAAGAAAACAACAGGTACAATGGGAACAAGTCCTCGCCTAGGTGCCTGGGGCTCTGGGTCTGGCCTTGCTTCTGCCACAGACATCTGGGAACTTGCACAACCCGAGTCAAGAGCTGGCACAACCCTGCCGGCCCTTTCCCTCCCACACCACCGTCTTCCCGCAGCCTGGCCTGAGCCACTAGGAGCTGCGCAGTCTCCTGATGGCCGCTTATTCCACGCTGCAAGCCTCCGGGTCACCCATAATTGCTTTCTTGACATTTAGCTTAAAAAAGTGACAAAGGGCTTAGCATTTTGATTTCTGGCACTAGATCCTGTCCCTGCCAATGGTACCGGAAGCCCTGTGGAGGCTCTGTGTGCAGCTGGACCCATCCCTATACCTCTCTGGGTGGGGAAAAACACTAGAAATGGCAAAAATGTTTCCCATGGACTTCACCTTTGAGTTATGGGCATAAATAAATTAGCCTTTGTAAAGAGCTCATAAACACTGCAAGGCAAGGCCCCTGGTGGCATGCACACGTCTCTTCAAACTGCCAGCCTCAGGATGCAATGTTTCATGCCGGCCACCACCTTCAACAGACCCAGAAAGAATGTGGGGAAGGCTGGGCCATTAGTTGACTCCTTCCTTGGGCCCCAGGAGTCAACCCTGAAACACTTCTCAATTGTCTGTAGGCCCTGGGACATAGAAGCCAGAAAACCAACCGCCACACTGCTCAGTTTGGACTCAGCCTTGGCTGCCTGAACCTCACTCCCACCCCCACCCTATGCCCTGCTCAATGAGGACACAGCACAGGGAAGGGGTTGATATTTAAAAATAGTGCCAGGCCCAGAATATACAAACAGGGCTTGCTTACGCCTAGCCAAACACACTAGAAGGGAAGGGTGAGAGATGTTTTCTATGTGGCGGAAGACACTTGTGAGGAGACGCTAAGATGCCTGGTGCTCTCCCTCCTGGAACACAGGTGTGGCATGGGACATGTTGCTTGTGCTTCCCCGGCCCCACTGCAGCCCTGGAGGGCCAACACATCATAGGCAGCAGAGCTAAAATATGGGGAGAGCCTGGGTCTCAGTGATAGTGTGGTTCCTCTGACTTTTGGTTCTATGGGATACTAGATTAAGACACTGTAGCTAGGTTGGGCATTTGAGCCTCACAGCCAAACTATTCAAATAATTCAGCCAGCTGTTTTATACCCATGAGCTTTAAGGTGGGGGTGCTGGACGAGTCCTACAGTTTCTTTCGGGTCAGACCTTCTGGTAGCACATTTTACAGATGCCTCCCTACCCTTGTAATCCTTCAGTGGGGATGGTGGTCCTCTGGGACTCTGCACCCCTCACTGTCCAATACCAGCAGCTATGGCATGCATTGCCATTTAATTTTTAGGGTGAGATGGGGCCCCTTCTGCAGGTGTGGCTCTGTGCTTGAACCTCCATTTGCCACAGTCCAGTCAGGGTTCTTAGTCCCTTTGTGAATGTCCATCTTGACAATGCACTTTCCATAACCATCAGCCTATTTCCCATCCATGATGCTGCGCTGGACAAAAAATGGAAGCATTCCCAGCCCCTCTCCTGGCCCAGGATGAGTCTCTATAAAACTCAAGCTACAGCTTGCTGGATGGACACAGAAATGGACAGTCATCTGCAGGCTGGGCCCAGCTGGAACGGCACAGCACGACCTGTCAGAGCTGGTCAGCCTGAGGCGTGAGGCAGGAAGGCCTGTGCTCTTTAGCTTTCGTCTACTGGGGTTCTGTGGTGGCAGAGCTATAAAGACAGGGGAACTCCCTGTGCTGCAAAGAGGCCCTGCAGTCTGTGCTCGCCAGGGCATGGAGGTGATTAATGCACAGAGACAAGAGTGGAGCCAGCTGCCCTGGCAGAGGAACCCTGATTTACCAGGTGCTGTTTCTCTGGTCAGCGGGTGACAGCAGGACCTGCAGCACTTCCCTCTGGTGGGAGCTGCAGCTCACATGGCATCCTAAGGGTCTGAATATGCAGGCTAGGGCAGCCTCCAGGGTGACAGCAGGAGACAGGAGAGGGTAGGGAAGAAGAGAGCGGGCGAAGGAGGGACCACACAGAACAGCTGGAGGAAGAGGAGGGAAGGAAGAAGGAAGGAGAGGCCTGGGGGAGGGAGGGGAGGAAGAGAAGATGGAAGGAGGAAGATGAAGATGATGGGAGGGAAGGATAGAGAAAGAGAAGAAGGAAAGAGTGAAGGGAAGGAGGCGAAGAAAGGCAGGGGAAGGGAGGGAGAGAAGGACAATGTTCTGGCCTCTGGACCAGGGATTTACTTTGAGGGCAGAGAAACAGGAGCCAAAGGAAGTGATCTATCATCCTGACTTTCCTGTGGCAATCAAGACTTCCTTTTCCTTGGCCAGTCAGGGGATGCTATGATGGTGGCAGCTGAGAGAGCTGAGTGATACCAGCTTCACAGGACCCGCTGAACCTCTTGTCCAGATTCCTTGGAGCCCTGGGGCCCTGCAGCCCTTGAGGTGTTTCTCACTAAATATTAACCAGGCCCACCCAGTTCTACTGCACTCCAAGATCAGAGATCAGGCACTTTCAGGAGTATGGCCCCAGACTTTGGACTGGAGATGGAAACCTGGACCTCATGCACTCTAGGCAAGTGCTCTACCACTGGGCTCCACTGCCAGCATTGTCTCACTGTTTCTATTCCTTGACACTGGGTGGCAAGTTCCTGGAGATTCCAAAGGGGGTGTGTCACCTAACTGTGCAGACACACGTTTGACCATCTGTGAACTGCTCTTCTTGTCATGGGTGTCAAGGATAGTCCATGTTCTTTTGCTACTCATGTGCTAAGATCATCAATAGGCACTACACATGGCCAGGACACTCTTGTCATGGACAGGCCTTCCTTGCTTGGCTGCCTTAGTTCAGTGCTTGCAAGTTTGGAGACCCCTCTGAGTTTCAGCTATATGGCCTGGACCTCCAGACAGACCCCTGACCCTTAACTGATGCCCATGCCATATACCTCTCAAGAGACTGCCAGATGAAGGGGTTCGTAGGAGTCATGTGACAGCTCAGTGTCTCCTGGCTAGTTAGCCTTGCAGTCCCATCCCTAGGTAGGAGGAGGAATCTTAGGTGTGAATCATTGCAGAGTCTTAATGAGAAAGGGAAGTAGCGGCCCTGTTTTGGGTGATGAATCTTAGGGGCTGAGATTACAAAGTACCCTGTGGTAGTTTGAATGTAATTGGCCCCCCATTGGCTCATAGGGAGTGGCACTATTAGGAAGTGTGGCCTTGTTGGAGTAGGTGTGGCCCTGTTGGAGGAAGTGTGTCTCAGTTCACTTCCTGCCGCCTAAGAATCAAGATGTAGAACTCTCAGCTCCTTCTCCAGCCCCATGTCTGCTTGCATGCCACCTGCCATGATGACAATGGACTAACCCTATTAACTTTAAACCAGCCCCAATTAAATGTTTCCTTTATAAGAGTTGCCATGGTCATGGTGTCTCTTCATAGCAATAAAACCCTAACTAAGACACACCCCAAACTAAAAATGTACTTTCTCAAAGTTCTAGGTGACAGAAGTCTAATGTCAAGTGTTGAGTAGATCTTTGCACCCCTTTGAAATCGTAGGGGAGCTTCTCCCCATCTTCCATGGCTTGTCGACAATCACTGGGAATGCTGAGCTCACAGCTTTGCTGGTATCTCTGCCTTCATGTAGTCCTCTTCTCAGGACACCAGCCCTTTGGAAAAGGGTTCATTCACCCAGTAAGATGTCGTTTTAGCTACTTCCATCTGCAGTAAGCCTGTTTCCAAACACAGTCACACTCTGAGCAGCTGATAATGCTTGCTGATTATGGCCACCTCTCATCAAATATTTATCCCAGCACTCAGAGTCTTCCATCAGCCTCCAGCATCTTGTCAGGCCTGAAATCTGATGATTAAGGCTGGTCATGAGTGAAGCAGGCAGACTACAAAGTGCAGGACGGAAAGGGGAAGACATCAAAGCCCTGTGTTCTTCCTTAAAGGTCACCATCCTTCTGGAATTGGAGGCCTCCTGCAGGGAACAACCTGAGGAGGTGGCCCTGTGTGTCTCCTGGACCCAGGGCAGTTCTTGCTCCTTTCCTTCCTTTGCATGAGGGCAGAAGGCAGGGAAGTCCAAGCTCAGGGCCAATGGGCTGGCCCCTGGCCTTGCGTTTATGAAAGCAAACAGCTACCTTGCCTGGCTCAGAGATGTGGCTCTCTCCACTTTCAAGGGAAGCCCTGGCATTTCATCAGTGGCCTCTTTGAAGCCTGCCCTTTGCAAAACAAAGAAGAGAAGGGAGAGAGGCTGGCCCAGACTCAAAGACTTCCTGGACAGGTTTGGTTGGGGGGTGATGATCTGGTCCAGACCACTGATAAAGTAAGTTCATCACGTAGCAAGTCACAGGCATCTTTTGGTTTTCCAGCGTACATGGAAGTACAGGCTTACCTGAAAACTGTCTCTGTGAGGTGCACAATAGATTTATGTTCGAAAAGCCCATATATTTACCCAATTAAATAAGAACAGTGCCAAGAAAGACTAATGATCATTTGAGTTGAAGGAAAATGGAGGACGACAGGTTTGCTCAACACAGGTTGCCATGAACCTCCAATTTGTCAAAATGCCGGATCTGTGACCTGCAGCCAAGCAAGCACACAAAAACTAGGCATGCCTGTACAATATCCAGTTTCTGAGGCCCTTCTCTGTGGCTTCACTCATTACATGGGTGGAAGAGCCTGTCAGGCGAGAATCATGCCTGGTGCTTAATGGAACCCAGGGACCAATTAACCACGCCGAGAGCCAACGGGCCAAGCATTTCTAAACGGATAGCAGGGAACTCTTATCCCAGTGCCTGCTTTCTCCTTCCCCCAAATAAAAGACAAATGCCATGTCAAGGCTTCTCAAAAGTGATCCTTTATTTCCTGAAAGTCCTAAAGCAGACCCATTTATCAAAAGATGACAGATACTCCAGTCCACAAGCAATGTGTTTCCCCTTTTCCAGCGAGTCTTGGAGCTCCATGAGGGCTGCAGCCTGGGTAAAACCAGGGCATCAAAAACGGCCCTCCACACCCAGCAGCTGCACGGCAGCCTCCTGTACAGCCTGGTGGACACTACTGACTTCTCTCTGGGACAGTGTCCGCTCCATGTGGCGGTAGGTGATACGGTAGCAGTGGCTGGTCCTGTGTGTCCTGGAGACGGGGAGAGAATGCAAGTAGGTGAGTGAAAAACACGTCTGCACATGGATTGAAAGCAGGAGGGCTTATTCTTGTAAAACAGCTGCCATATCACAATGGTATGGTATCACCTGCTAAGAGCAGACCTAGTGGGTCAGGATCCAGTATCTGTCATGTGTCACCACACAAATACCACTTGCCACTCAGGACCACATTGCTTCAGTGTGTGGGAGGGTGATGGTTAGGGAAACAGTAGCTTGAATAATGGAGAAGCTGGTTCCTTCATGTTGGATGCACCATAGTCTCCAAGGTAGGTGCTCCCCATAGGTTTGATGTCCTGGGTAAATAGAGAGTTTGATTGCAGGACACAGGACCTGGAGTTCTGAGCTCTTTCTGGCTCCCCAGGCATTTCTGACTGTGTAAGTATTGGGAGTCAATGCTAGTGACCTCCACCTTGCCATGGTATGGAAAAGAACTATGCTCGTAGACCACACTGCATCAAACAGTGCCAGAGACAAGGCTGGGAAGTGTCATCCCCAGCCCCCCCCCCCCCCCCCCCCCCCCCCCCCCCGTGAACCTAGGAAGCTTACATCATTCCATGCACACCAGGCACTCACACATACTGGGCTGACCTCTACTTTACCACAGCAGTGCTGACCTGCTTTTGTGGATCGCTCTGCTCAAGTGGCGTGGTAGCAGCAGTATGGTAGTCTCATCGGGAAGACCAAACGGTTACGACTTGTGTCACTGACCCTCTCCTGGGATGTCTCTCACTGGTTGTGTGGATGGGAGGGGTCTGAACAAGCCACTCTGAGAGCTTTAATTTCTCTTCTGCATAATGAGAAGCCATGGCAACTCCTGGTTTCCAACCCCAGTAGTAGCAGAGCCAACCCTGGGTTCTCGGGCGAAGAAGCTCCAGCAAAGGAAGCAGCCCCCAGGGGGCGCCCCTCCTAATGATGTCACTCATCTGTGAGCCTGACCAGGAGAGGCCACAGTACCTCCAGTAGGTGAGTAAGGGCTGGGCCTTCAGTCATGCTAGAACTGGGGACAAATGGGTTTCAGGTGGGCTGGCACCTTGGGGAGCCCCTTTACAGGAAGACAAAATAATTCCCCTGTGTGGCTACCAGAGCCTAGAGCCTCTGCTTCCTTCCAAGGCCTTCATGATGTTCCGGGATCATTCTCATAAGAGTGCTTTCTCCCTGTCTCCCACCTGCTGATTTTAGGTCAGACCTGGAAGTAGACAGAATATGCTTGGGAAGAGAAGTGTCCGTCTCAGCCCCAGCCTCTGATAGCTCCTTGTCTCTTCTTCCAGCTCTCCTTCCACTCCTTCCCCACCTAGCTTCTCCACTTTACTCTGCTTCTCCCCGCCCCCACCTTGAGCCACACTTGGGAAGGGTGAGCTCCTAGGACCCTCTGCCATTTGAAGTCAGGCACAGAGCCCCCATCTGCAAAGAGCAGCAGGAAGGAGTCACCTCCAAGGCGCTCATGTCCAAGGCTAGCTGGCATGTCCCCGTCCTCTTTAGCCTCAGCAGCCTGTTTTAGGCGAGGGAGAACTGGCCTTCCTTCAACCCTGTTACTTTCCCACCATAGCCCAAGTCACAAATTGAGAACAGTCATAAGAAGGAGACCCAGGTTTGTTCAGCCCCTGAGATTCGCAGAGCAAACCAAAGGCTCGCAGAGCTGTGGCCAACTGCCAAACATGGAAGAAATAGGACTCCGTGAAGGGAGGGATGGCCTTGGTGAGGAGCCCAAGGGTTTGGACCAGAGCTCTTTATTGTATCACACCCTACATGGCAGCCCTGTAGCCTACCTAGTGCTTTCTAGCCTTTCACTGGACACATAAATTCACTCCGACTGATAGCTTCACTGAGCAGATAACATCACTGTCCCTGGGAAACATCTGTGATCACAGAAGGCAGAAGGGACTTGTCCAAGTTCAAACAGCAGGACTACATGACAAGACCAGAATTCCAGCCAAGCAATGTGGTAGGAATATGAAACATATATGCTGCTGTGGAAAGGGTTAGTGGGTTTGAAAACATTAAACGTATTATTACTACATACTCCAGTAATTCCTAGGTATATGCCCCCAGAGAACAGAAGGCTCACACTTAAAGTCCGACAAGAATTTGCTGCTGAGTCTCTTGATCAGGCCTGTAATCCTGGCTACCTGGGGAGGCTCAGCCAAAAGGATCACAAGTTCAAGGCCTGCTTGGATTACAGAGTGAGTTCGAGGCTAGCCCTAGCAACTTCATGAGATCCTGTCTCAGAATGAAAAGTAAAAGGAGAGCTGGGGCTACAGAGCTCCGTGGTAGAGTATTTGCCAAAGATGTGTGAAGTCATAGGTTCAATCCCCAGCAACACACACACACACACACACACACACACACACACACACACACACACACACACACACACATTACACTTTCCTAAAAGCACTGTTTAGTCATTAGCAACTGATGAATGGGCATCAATAAATTTAGTATAGCCAAATGGACTACTATTTGGCAAAAAAAGAAAAGGAAAGGAAAGGAAAGGAAAAAAAGAATAGTTTACTAATACTGATGAGTGGAAATTAGGAGAACTTCAAAACCAAAGTATGTAGACACCACAGATATCTGAAACATCCAGACTAGAGAAGCACCCAAAGGCACTGAACTGTACACTTTCAAAATGACTAATTTCATATTCAGGGAATTTTATTTCAATAGAACAGAAACATACCCTGGCCAATCTGGTTTCAGAACTCAGCCTTAACCACGGCACTCAGGAGCTCTAACAAACATAGCCCTCCCTTTCACATCCAAGTTCTTGCTGTAGTTTGGATCCTGAATCTCACCAAGTGCCCCGGCTACTGGGAGGCTGTAGGGCCTTTAAGATATAGGGTGTAGTTGGGGGGGGCTGTCTTGGGTTATTGGGTGAGGTTTTAGAGGGGGATAAGCAGACCTCAGCCCCTTCTTTCACTTTTCCACACCCAGCAACAGGGTAAATGAGTCCCTTTGATCATGTGTTCCCACCCTAATGTGCTTCCACAGGCTCAAACTAATGAGTCAACTGGTCATGGACTGAAGGCTCTAGACTATGGGCCCAAATAAACACATTATCTTTTCTCAGGTATTTCTCATAGTAACAGAAAGCAAATACATCCAGCTTCCTCTAAGCAGCAATATAGTTTTAAAATAACCAAGAAAGATCCATAGTGATCCCTATCCTACATTCCTTTCTGTCTCAGAGAGGACACGACTGGAGGCAAGGAAGACCAGGATGCTCTTTGATTGGGACACATAGACCAGGAACACGCTGATAAGGATCTCTCCTACTGTAGTACCATTAAAAGGTGGACAGCAGGCAGGAGGCAGCTGGCTGGGAAAATAGGGCCCAGAGAATAGGAAAAGAAGGCAGTCCTGGGGTTTGGGCATCAGGCAGTTGCAATAGCTTTCTATCCAATTCATAGGGCCCAGTATTCAGGATGAGCAGAGTGGGCTATACAATCTGGAGAGTCATAGGTAAATCAAAGTTCACTTTTACGTACCTCATAGTTTCCACTCATGAGACAAATAAGCAAGATTATCTATTGTTCAGTTAGGGAAGTCAAATCCCTTTGTTGACAAGATGGAAGAGAATGAAAAATAAAAAACACTTAAAAACTTTCACTACCCTGCAATACTGGCTGACTGTAAAATGAGCTGGCTGCTGGCTAGAACCTCACTTTTTGCTTTTTTTTTTTAAACAGAGATTTTGATGTAAGGGTCTTACAGTGTTTTCAACTAGGACTAGTTCATTTATAGACTGCTTCAGTCATTCAACAAACAGCATCTTGCAGGCACTGAGCCGGACAGAGGAGCACAGGGAGAGAATGTGCAATCTGCCATGCAGCAGTGGGCCGTGTAGCAGCAGCAGCAGCGGGCCGTGCAGCAGCGGTGGGCCGTGCAGCAGCAGCGGGCCGTGCAGCAGCTGCGGGCCGTGGAGCAGCTGCGGGCCGTGCAGCAGCGGCGGACTGTGCAGCAGCAGGCCGTGCAGCAGCAGCAGCGGGCCGTGCAGCAGCAGCGGGCTCTGCAGTAGCAGGCCATGTAGCAGCAGCAGCAGCAGCAGCAGCAGCAGCGGCGGGCCGTGCAGCAGCGGCAGGCCAGCAGGCAGCACGAGAGGCTGCCAGTCACTTGACAGGGAAGTCGGCTGTGCCACACTCCATACAACAAGAACTTTGAGTTTCTCCTCTTCAGCAAATGGTATTTCCATGCGTACTGGCATGGTGCTGTTCATCTAGTTACAGAGTTGAGCACTGCAGAAATCATACAAGAAATCTGGGTCACTATGCCTGTGGACACTGAACACAAGACAGCTACATCTGACTGTCCTCGTCTGCCTCTGAATGACTCATGGTGCTCGTGGTACCAGTGCCGCCACTTTTGTGCTTTTCCCAACCAGCCTGCCATCCAGTGCCCTGTTTCTAGGTCCAGTCCAACTGGTGGAAACCAGAAACATGGCTTACTTTCTCAGGGTCCTGTTCCCTGCTCCACCGTGAACGCCAAGGTTTACCCAATTCCACCGCCTACCCAAGTCCAGATGCTCAGGCAGAAACTGAGAGTTGGGATGGGCAATCCCATATGAGCCCTGGGGAGAGCTGGCAGGACAGTGAGGGACAAGCTAACAGAGAGGGATTCCATTTTAGTGCCTCCTCCTCCCAGACTCCTAACTTTAGACCAAAGATAAAGCTGCGTAGGAGTTAAGAACAGTCAAGTCTGGATCAGTACAGGACTGTCAAGTTTATGCTTAAACGGGCTCAGCAATCCACTTCTGGGTGTGCATCCAAAGGAAATTTTAACCATTGTGTTGAGAGGATGCCTGTACGTACCCCATGCTTATACACACACTATTCATAAAGCTGAGATATGGGATTACCACAAACATCCATCAATGGATGAATGGAAGAGGAAGGCGGCACAGGGAGCACATATTCAATGGAATACTAGTCTGTCTTTAAAAAGATAAGATCCTGTCATTCACAGCAACATGCA